ATCAAAATTTTAATAGATTGTTATCTTAAAGAAAGATTTTGTTCTCAAAAGCAATTGAAATGTGAGCTGGTCAACAATGACTGTTGAAACAGCGTTCTGATTCCATCATTTTACTAGGAACACTTAATAAAGAAACCGGTCGGTGGTTTCTACAGTGTGTATCATCGTCTTTTTCGAAAATTGGTGTAAGCCTCGCAGTCTTCCACATAGGATACACAGTTCCACGTTCAATGCTAAATTCACATAGATTAACTTGAGATGGCACAGTAGCATTTTTTGCAGCCTTTAAAAGTATGGGTGCAATGTTATCTGGTCCAGTGGACTTTTTAACTTTCAGCTGTTTCAATTTTTCTCGTCCAGAGTTATGTGCCATTTTAAACTCGTTCAGTTGTGGTGGTTCGAATTCAGCAATACTAGCATTGATGAGGATCTTTCAGATTGCGCAGCTCTCCACTCAAAATCTACGGAAATATACTTACTGACCCAGTAGGATATTCCTGGAACGTTGTTTTATCTCCACGATGAAATGGGCCCTCTAACTGCTTTTCTATTAATTCTGAAAGGTTTAAACCCCTCCGGGACAATTTCATGTCTTTTTGACCACTTTTTGCTCAACCGCTTGTTTTTCATTCTCATTTAAATGACTGGCGTTGTAGCTATTTTTTAGTTCTATGATAACATAGAGGGCAAAATTACTGAATGCTGATTGATCAATGAAGAGGGTATTTTTTTCTTAATTTTGCTTGTGAAAGGGGCAAAATTACTTGCTCACGATTGGTCCTCAGGTTGCCTAGCAACAGCTTATGCTATCGAGTAGATGTGAAAAAATTCTCTGTAACAATGGCGTCACGTTTCGAGATAATTGACGAGGAATATATGGAAGAATTAAAAGACGAGTGAAAAATGAAAACACGAAGAAAAGCATGGAGTACTGGAAGAAAGTTTTCAAAAAGTGGGCGAATGAAAGAAACTTCCAAGCAAATTTAGCGGAGTATGAGAGCGTTGTTTACAATTTCAGTCACTGCAGCGTCGCCTTGAACATCGCCGGGAATGATGCCTTCATAAGGGCACAATTGATGTAAGACGAGAATACAAGCATGTCTCCATCGAAGAATCAGATTCTGAGTGATCTGAATGCGTTTTGAACGCTTGAACTTTGTTTGAAAAAGCACTGACTTTATATTTTCAAAGTTGAAAGTTTGTTAGCAGGCCTGGTTTTCAATGTCCTGGTATGTTTGTGAAAAAATAAAATTTCATTCAGCTCATTCGTACGTTTGTGGTGATTGATTCTTTGTCAACATTAAATGGCTTCCTGTGACTGATATCTCAAGAGCGCATTCAGAAATTCAGTAATTTTTCCCTCTATTTCATTAACAAGTAATCGCAATGGGTCCTCGTAAAATTAAGGATTAATATCATTTGTGTTTTCGCGCAGCAACGAGGGCAATTTCAGCAACTTCTGAAAACACAAGCGATATTAATCCTTAATTTTACTAAGCCCCATTCAATTACCTATACTAATTATGGCCCCTTTTAAAAGAAACATGTACCAGAGAAATGATTTTTTACAGTAATAATCTGTCTGCTTAAAAAAAAACAAAAAAAAAACACGACTCGAATAAGAATCTAACTCATATCGAGCGATGTCTATGGGTATAGATATTTCGCTATTTTTTATGCTTTCACGGTGCTGGTGAATGGAAATTGGTCGAATTTCTTCTTTCTATTGGACGTAGTAAAACAGTTGGAAGGTAATTCACTGGAAACTTCTGAAGTAGGATCAAAACTGAAAAGAGATCGAAATACCGATTGTATGTTTATGGTTAGGTTTTTGTGTCATGAACAGTTTTTCACGCTCGGTTTTAAAATTCAAATCTGTTTGAACACATAGTTTTGTGAAAAAAGAACGCGTCTGTGTCTTTAAGTTGATCACATACTGATACTAAATTAACCATCGAAGGAGGCTCTTTCTCGTTTGACAATTAATATCACGGATGATCGGATAAACAATTTCGACTTTTTTTCTCCTGGACGGTGCGTTTTATAGGTCCAAGTAACAATGTGGTTACAAAATGATGTCAGTAGCCGTCTTTAGATCAGATTTCAGTGACATCAAACCCATAGTTACAATGGCTCGGTGGTGACATGGTCCTGATTATTAAGAATGTCTTGTTGTGGTCTCGTTTAATTACGCCTTTAACCGCCCGTACTTTGAAAAAACCGCAATGTTGTCTCTAAATTTTCATTGTTGAATTGGTCAATATAGCATGTGGCTTGACTAGGAGGTTATTAATGTTGCTTTTGCAACATACATACATGTACTACAAGATGACCTCGAATAAAAAAAATGAATACTCCAAACTCGGCTTTTCACCGCGTTTCTTTCTTTCTATCAAAGCATTGATAGGCATGTTTTAATATTTTATGTGACTGACATATTTGGTTAACTTTAAACGCAATACGTACTGTCTCATCTGATAGAAAAAAATTGCTTGAAATCCGAGCAGCTTTGCCTGTGTACGACCTCAGCCTCTCGCCGGAATCCGTAGTTGAACAAAATGTCGCGAGCTTCCCTGTCTTGAAAATGACACTAAGCATTGTCCACAAAAGCGTGATTTAAATTGACGAATCCTTGGACTGCGATTGTTTTTCGTGTCCTTTTTGTGCGATAAGTTCTTCTTAACGCAACAAATAATATCAAAGACCAGAGAAAGAAACAATACACCAAACAAAATCATGTCTAAATTAAAATGAGAGATTTCCATACCACGTCATTCCAAATGCTATTTTTCGTGTTGAGGCCGAAGTAGACACTCTCTCAAGCATGCAGACCACAAGCCAAGCTGTATTTACTGTGAGTCGTTCTCTGTCCAATTACGCGAAACCTCAGGGAATTTTACAGTGCTATTAAAATGTGCATTTTGCTAGCTGTTCTACCTTTCCCATCAATAAGCGCCTGCGCTACTTAATAAGTGCATTCTAGCAGAAGAAACAATTGCAAATGAACAATAATTATCGGAAGGAAGGCTTTCGACTCTCGAAAATGCTCAACCCTTAACCCACTCTCAAGATCTCATCAGTAATTCTCCTTACTGTCTACCATACAGTTCTCGTGATTTTTGTTTGGAGAATTTGTTATTAGATCAACTTATATTCCCCTAATTTCTATTTTCTTTATTCTCATCACTTGTCTGTTTGCTATTGTATTGATATAACAAGGAGAAATTCTGTCTTGGTCACTCATGGGAGTTAAAGGTTTAGAAGCATCAAGTGGAAAGGAAACGTACATGGTAGCCGAACTGAGGAAAAGCAATGTAACAATGTCCAAAATCTGCAGTTGTTCTAGAAAAAAGTGAGACACTAAGGGGTTATTAAATGTTTATCATGAAAGGAAACTCGGACTTGTCAAAAGTCTATTTTCTTTCTTGTTTGGAAAATAATTTACGATATTTCTTTTAAACCTCGGGGTTTATTTTGAATATTGGAAATAAATTTATAGACTGATCCATTGACGTCTCGTCTCACAGCACGCCTTGTATTGGTGGAAAAAAATACTAACGCTTAAATTATGGAGAAAATAAAAATTGTTACATATATTTGCATATCGTATATATTCTGTTCGCGCGTATTTTATTTGGTTAGTTGTCTAGTTTGCGGAACATATCGGAACATATCGTTCTTTGGGTTTCATTTTTTCGTCTTTTGGTTTGGTCACATTCGTCTTGTAAGTATCCTTGTTTATTTCGCTTTGTCGTTTTCAAGTACTTTCACTCATACGTTGTAAGTTATTTTATGCTCATTCGCGTGTTTGTAAATTTGCTATTTTCAGTTACCGTGTTCAACAATGTGTCATGTCAGGTTTGCTAAATTTTCGATGAACGGAAGTTTGTTCTAGTAAAGTTTGAATACGAGTGATTGGCGTTTGCGTCTACAACTACGATATGACCTTCCAGGAAAAGTCTTACTTATGCGTCTCACATAGTAATTATAAAGTGAACCTTAAGTTCATTATCGCACACGGGAAGGTGAATTGTAAGGAGTCGAAAATTCCATGAACCACCTTATTTTGCTCTTCATATACCGCAAATGAACAGACAAATATGTGTTAGAGATTTTGAAAGTTGGCATGTTAACAAAATTAATAAATGTGAACTCAACTTCTCAAGATGGTAATAGTGAAAAATGCATGTAGCACCTAATTAATTTCCATTCAATCATGATTGAAAAGAAATTGATTAGCTACTTAACTCTTGGAGACGTTATTATAAAATCAATTTCTGTCACAAGTCGTTGGAAGTCGTTAAACAACTTACCAGTTTTCTTTCCCAGTGATCCTTTTCAACATTCTGTGGATAGTCAATATAGCTCCTTTTTCGCAGCTCCCTGGGAAGTTTTCTACTGTCAACATCATCAAGTTTGATCACGACCACACTATTATCTCTCCTTTCCACAAGTCGATGGAGGGCGTAATCCATTTCAGAACCACAATAATTACTATTGAAAAAGTTCTTTGACACGACAGCAATTGTTTTTCTTGAGTTGTAAACACTGTTGACCATATTTTCACGTAAGGGTACGCCAATAACGAAATCTCTGTAGTGTACACAGCATTTAAAATCATGTTTTTCTTCTAGAGTTGGAATTAGAGTTTTAATCACCCAATCCGAGTCTTGAGAGCTGAAAATAACGAACGCATCGTACTCAAATTCAAGTTCTGAAAGCAAAAATAAGGATGCATTGTTAGCTGAGAGTTCTATGTTCAAAATTATTGGAGTCAAGTTTATACTCAGTGCCAAGTGAAAACACTACTAACGTAATGTGACAGCTAGCTAGATTGAAATTCATAATTAAAAAAAGGGACTTTTTGGAGAGAGTTTTTTCTGAAAAAATATAAGCTTTCAAGTTTCAGTTCAAACCTTATACAAACTAGGGATATTTGAAAAAGAGCTCTGAACCACTAAAATATAGGCTACCAACCCCAATATTTAAAGTTAGACTTACCTGATGGTGATCTCGGCAATAAGGGTCTCTTATTTCGGGATCGACGGCGCCAGCAGATAATGATTAAGGCAGCCATGGTAATTAACACGCATGCCAAGACGGTTCCAGAGACAAGAACATCACGAGTCTTCTTTTCTGAAGAACGAATTGCATATCAAAGTTATTTTATCACATATAGTGCAGTGTTTTCTAGGGATTTCCGGCCCAGAGAAAAGCCGTAACAACACACGTAAAAAAAATCGTATTTTTTTCACGTGTGCTGATAAAGCCAATCAGCTAGGTCAGGTTGATGAATGAATGGCAAAGCGTTCACGATTCTCAATACAAGTTGTTTGTGTGAGCTTTCTCGAATAACGGCAGCTAAAACGCTAAAAAATCCGTATCGCTGACAGACTGTGGGGTTCAAACTTTCCTAGAAGGGGAAGAAAACCAATATACTAAAAGAAAAACCGAAAGTTACGTATTCAGTGGCTTTGGTGTTAGTATTTCTCTCGACTGAGAATGAAAATCGACAACTGGAAGATTTGCCACTCGCCGATTTTGGTCGTTTACCTGAAAGACTTCTTCTGTCGGTAAAGACAAAGTCAATGGATGAGAATTTTGTGAATTAAAAATTTTTTTTATAATCATGATTAAACGCATTTTTCCATCTTAGGAGTTAGCGCCAACGCACTCTACGATTGTTATTCAGGGATTGTCGATTCATTTATATTCATTCATAAATGAAGTCGGCTTTTCTTCACAGTAAAGGGCTATTGTCTATATATGATAAACAAAATAATACTTGGTTGCTTGTAGATATGGAATTTCTCTTCTCGTGTTCAACTCGACATCTCACTCGTGATCTATCGAGTTAAACACTCTAAGAGAAATTCCATATCTACGCGCGCCATGTATTATTCTATATATATCTAATCGTCAAGAATAAAAGAAGGTTTAGTAAACCTGACAAGAAAAATTCAAGTTGAAATTGAGTGTATGATTTGACGATATAAATTGGTGTTTTCCTAGTATAGGTTGGAGGAGATGGACTCACTCCGGACTCTTCACCCTCATTCACTCGCATTAGGCGTCAATTCTCCAGTTTAAGCTTCATTGCGTCGCAAATGAGGTTTTACTTTCCTATGAGCCCGGTGCCTAAATTATCAAATTGTGGTTCAAGTACCAAAAATATGGGCGATTTCCATCCACAATAACCGCAATATTTCAATATGAGAGAGAAGGACGTTAATCTGAAAGGAATTACAGCTATTCACTAACATGGGAGCATGTCTTAGATATTTCGTGGAAGATGGTAGCAGTTTACGCTCGACGAACCAGAAGTTTCCTTTAGCTTCAACGATATTTATCTATTTGGAAGCATGATGGACTAAAGAGGCAGAGACTTAACTTATTTCATTGTCTCACTCTCTCAGCAGAGTTTTAAGAATTTCACGGTTTACATCATGTTCATCACAGTGAATACGTACCAAAGCTTTCCATACCGTTTCCAGTGAGATTAGAAATGTGTTCTGTCTCAGGAAAAAGAGTGCTGTCATTGTAATGCGTTCCATTCAAGTCTGCAAACTCGTCTGGGGTGAAAGAACACTTTAATCCGTTGAGGTCACAACTGGGAGGGGCTGAAAGGTAATAATAAATGTAACGAATGATCAAGTCAAGGCCCACATTGATAACATGCACAGCTTGCCGTACTCAGGGTTCTGAATGAAGCAACATCTCGGATTTTTAAAGGATATTTTCCTCTTCAGTTAACAAGATACTGCAATAATCGAGGGTTCAAGACTTCTTGACCAAGTACTGCACGCATTTTACGTGATGTGTTGTGCATTGTAGTGCTAAATGGGGAACTGAGACTGTAGAAGCAGTTCTCATGTCTCGTTAAGAGAGATATAGAATACAGGATACCTAAATGTACGCAGTGCACATCTACTTTTTATTTGATTCATTCGTTAATTTCCTTTTTTCAATTCGGAGAATGGCTAAATGCCATTTCTGAGTTGTTGTTATAACTCAAAATTCACTCCTTCCACTATCTCTCTGTCACACCTTCCTTCCGTTCGAAATTCAGGACATAGCTCAGGTGTGCTTATCCTAGTTAGGGAACAACTAGATTTATTATCGTCATAGCTTAATGATCAGCGTCATATCTTGTACTGCAAGCTTCGATGCAAGAATCTGCATTTATACTAATCAACATTTCTGCTCCAAATAAATGCGCTGAACGAAGTGGATTTTTCAAATCCGCTTCAGACGCAATGAGGACAGTTGATAAGTCTAATTGTATTGAGAGGAGATTTTAAATTCATTTTTGATTCATATTTAGATGGAAGTGGGGGAATCTGAAAAAAGAGGGAAATCGGAAATATTTGCCGGTAGAAACGATACTTCACAGAAAGTAAACTTTCCAAAACAATGTTTGCGTCACCATTAAAATTCTTGGAGTGTATTTCAGCTATGACCTGGAACAAAAGGTAGGGGCCTTTCACAGTTAGGATAAAGCTGCTAGGAACACATATCAGTCGACGAAAATCTAATGTGGGTAGAAAACTTCAAACATCTCTATTTGATGAACTTCCTGTAACAAGTCGTAACTGTCCTGACTAAACACTTTTTTTTACTTTCAAAAATTTCCTCTATTTACTTAGCCACAACTAATTTTTTCCACGATATATGATCCATGGTTTCTAGATGTTATTCATTTATATTTGTATTTGTATTTATACTCGGACATTTCATATAAAAAGCCTTCCAATGGAAAAGCTGACGTAAAGTCATACTATTGCTATTATCATTATTATTAATATCATTATTAGTGGAGAAAACCTAGATCGAGCTGTCATGATTCCTGTGAAGAAGGAAACTCGAGAAAAACATCACTGTTAACCAAGGATTCACTGACAATAAATTCCAAATAACAATTACGAAATACTTTATCATAAAAAGGAAGAAAAAATCCTTGAAAATGGGAGCCCTAGGCTTCTGGGAGTCTCAGTGTATTAATCATTCTTATCTACGGCTTTGTTTAACGATGATGTAAGCATGTTCCACTGCGTAGTTGTTTACAAGGGATTCATGGACAATGAATTACTCATAACGAAGTAATTCTTTACCCCCCAACATCAGTATCCGTTTTCTCCACACTATTCACTAAACATTTCCTAAGGTGCTGACAAAGGGAATTTTCTTGATAATCAAGAGCTGCTTTCGTTTGTGATCATTTCTTCTACTATCATTACCTATGTGTTTGATTCAAGGGTGATATTATAGGGAGAAATTATATGTTAGTCACTCTTATGGGTTAAAAGGTTAACAAATAAATTCCATGTTGCCGTGCGTCTGTTCAGTAACATATTACAGATGACGTCAAAATGTGGTAAGAAAAACAGCTGTTATGAGCACATCACAGAAAGCCCCTAATAATCTGATCATAATAAAGTTAATGATAACTAAA